ATCCAATCACATCCTCTGTTGAGGCAGGTTTTTGTTTCGCATCAAGGGAGATTTATTCAGTAAATGTGTTTCCATTGTAGTTTATGTCAATGTCTTCTTACCGGATAAAAAAATGATCTGCCTCAATTGAGCTCTTAAGTTTTTATGGGGATTTTTTTAATTTTAGCGTTTACATCCAGTTTTTTTTTATGCGATAACGCTAACTTTGCATAAAAATAGGTGAATGGAAACATAGCTAATGACTCAAGGTTAACTAACTCCCTCAAGTTTTTCCAAACCTGTATGAGTTGTTTTTTTCTGCAACCAGCCAGTTGATGATAGCCACTGACTTCCATAGTATTTTTTTCTTCGAAATATCTTCTTTTGTGTTCATCAGAAGAAACTCGTACAGGTTTGGAACAACTTGAGTGTGAGTAAATGATGACAGAATTTTCATTTTTGGGTGAACTATCCCTTTAATAGACAGCGTTGCATGAAGGCACCTCCTTAGTTTTGAGACCATCTTCCAAAAAATGTCACGTCTCATGATCTAGAACAAATTCAAGTCAGTTTGAATGACTTATTTTCCTACTAAGTTTCTTTTCATTCACAGGGAATCATATATGTTCACACAAGTGCTTTATCTTCTTTTAAATTACATGTAATTTATCCCCATACTATATATAACACTTCTTGTAAAGTGCAGAGGTGCCGTCACCAGTTTCCCAGACTGAGCCCTTTTTCTTTCTTAGGTAAGAAAGGTCACATGGCATTCCAGCGCATGGATCAGATCTACGAGCTACAGGACGAGGCTTACAAGAACCTGGAAACAGAAATCACAATCTTATAGGACGATCACAAACTCAATCTGTTACCTGATTGGATGGTGCTGAGAGACTGCGAGGTTTTGATTGAATACATTCCATCTGTGTGTACACATTAAGTATTTAATATGCAGTTTTATTATTGTCTTTTTATGTAATTTTAATTTTTAATTATAAGTGAAATATTTATAAATAAACTGTCTTCTATATTCATGTATCAAAATGAGTAAACATGAAATATATTGATAATAAATGTACATAAGTGAACTCTGACTTTGTTCAATTACTGTGTAAAACCACTAACAACTTCCCCATAATAAGCAACCCAAAATCAAATAATTAATATGCTCACATCTTCAAACATCAACAGCTTGAATTAGTTTACATAAAATTGTAACACTTTTCCATTTTTAACATACTTCTAAAGCATTTGTTGATCTTATTTCATATTTAAACGTTTACTAATACATTAAAAGTTCTGTCAATTAAATAGACCTGAGCTAACATTAATTAAAATTAATAGTTGTATTTTATCAAGTAACGTTATAGTTAATGTAATAAATCTTACCAAATTGTCTTCTACAATCCATTCCATGTCTAGGTTTTTCATAATACCAGGATGTGTCACAATATTTTACAAAAAAGCACAATCTCACAAATGGAGCTCATTCACATAAAAAAAAAGGAAATGCAAAATATTTCAGACTTTGTTACTTTCATGGTAATTTAGCACATTTTCTTCATCAAATTCTCATATCTGTAAAATAATTATGAAATTATATTTTATAAGTATTTTACAGTAATGAGAATTTAATTGGTAAAATAAGCTTAATTACCATAAGTGTCTTTTTTCTTTTGAAGTAAAACATGACCTGAACCTTTCTTGACTTCATCTTTTAATGCCAATTTTCAAGGCGAGAACAGAATATGACAAATAATAAACAAACTCTATAACAAACTATACATTTTAATTTTATAGAATTTTTTTATTGCCATTTTAAAAACATCTGTATGAATAAAACCTTTACCTTGTGAGCAGGTCTGTCTAGTAAAACTGCTTTGATGAGACTCGCCCTGCACTATGGGTTGTATTTGCTCAACCAAGAAATTCCCCCAGAGAAATGCATGTTTATTTTGGATGGAAAAATTTTATTTCATGATTGATCCACACAGCTGCTCTGAAGTCGCTTATAGCATCACAATGTCAAAAAGACGACAATTTTTCATCTGCGCAGCGCACACACACACAGCAGCTGGACTTTAGATCGTTAGAAACTTTATTGAATTAAAAGTGGTGACAGCATTTGAGCTGACTCAGCAGTGTATAAGCACGCATTCAGCTCCACGTACACAACAAAATTCATCCGCCGTTTATCCGCTTAACACTTGGACTCATACTGATTATTGACACCCAAAATCGCAATATACCAACGTATACACACACACACATAATCATCTACCCCTTTGGAAAAATTCAGCATTCAGAAATGAAAAAGTGCACCGAACACAACGAGAATGGAACCCATGCAAGCTTCAGACGCCCTTCGCCGCGGGGAGGAGACTCAAGTCAGGGAGCGAGGGCGCTTTGTTACGGGTTACAGCGGAGAGCGGTTTTCAACATGGGTAGAGCGAACTGAAACTTCCCAGCATTCCCCGTGGCTCTTCTACTATCAGTCAGGGTTGAGACGGCCCAGGGTCTGGGGGTGAAAACCGAGTCTAGGTGCCCACAATGTTGGGGTCGTGTGCGGAGTCCGGAAGTGGAGAATCGTGGCAGTGGTACAGAAAGCAGTTTCCCCAGCAGCTGTAGCAGATGAGGAACAGCGCCGCCAGGAAGACTAAGGCACAAATGGTACACGGCTTCCTCTCCAACAGGAAGCTGAGCAGGTAGAAGCCCATGAACATGGAGTGGTTGAACCACAGGGCTGGATTCAACGGTTTGGGGATCAGGAGGACCGGGAGTAACCACTGGAGGCAGTACATGGTCTCTGCGTGTGGGGCCGCCTAGTTTGAGCTCAGATATCCGACGTGACGCTACACAATCACAAATCCCCTGTGTATCTGCAAGGGATTAGACACAGTATCCAAATACCAGGCGAGGCCTTTGGAAAAGGAGAGAGAAAGAGAAAACAATTTGATACTCGACTCACACCACCTTATAAGGAACCGAGGTCAAAGCATACGTGTGTATTTTAAGAAATTGTGCAGCTGAAGGCTATTTTTAGTTCCTGGCCTTGAGTCTAACTTCTATCTACATAAACATGACAGCACCGTAAGTCGTATTTGACTAGCGCAACTTAAACGCTTTATTTCATCAAATGTTTCAGAAGAGAAAGATTTAATAGACAATCTCATACTGGAACAGTTAGGCTATTTTAGTAGCTTAGCATACACTTAAAAGATTTAGGGGTGTGCAACATATATTTTAAAAAAAGAGCAAAACAACCATTTATATATATATTTCTTTTCTATTTTACCCCATTTAGACTGATATTACACTGTTTAAATGAAGGATTTACAATCTACAAACGTGATTTGGCAACTAGTGTGACAATTAATTATGGACATATCCAATTGTTCAGTTTATGTTTTGATTTTTCTTATTATTAAAATGTTTAGGAGTATGGCAAAAAGGCCAAACACGTAACGTTAATGAAACCCCTAGTTTTTTAAGATACGTTTATGATTTAAGATACGTAAACGTTTCCCAATTTAGACTGCCATTCCTTGCACTGTTTACACGAAGGATCGACTAAACAAAACAAAAAAGATACAAATTTAGTAATTAGTGAGGTATTGTAATTAATTATGTACATTTCCAATATTTCACTTTGTGTTTTGAAAATTGTTCTTCTCTACACACCCCAGACATTTTAAATGTGAGCTAAATTTCCCCATTTTGACTTCCCACACCGTTTACACGAAATATCGACAATAAACAACAAAAAAGCTATAAATCTGGCAAGTAGTGTGACATTATAGATAATTATGAACATATCCAAAAAGTCAGTTTGTGGTTTTAAATTATGTCATCAAAAAAACACATATGAACAATAAAAACATTGTGATGTTAGCTTGATTGCTAACCGGATATCTAGCATGTGGCTAGGTGTTACACGGAAATAAACTTTCCGACCACAAATGTAAACATATATAATAGTGGCAGTCTCTAATAAGCAAGCTTTAAAACTCAAAAAGACTGAAATGATCATGTTCAGACCTGCCATTCTTTAAATTCAATCCCGATCGTGCACATAAGCCGTCGCCATTGAGCTCTTTAGGGTGATTGCGTAGATTTGTGGAACTCTAAGGACCCGACCGACGGCCTGTGTCCCACAGATGCCTGATGGAAATTCATTCACTGTTTTTCTCTAAGATGTAAATGACCAAAGATTAATTTTTATATAATTATTTTCGCATTTCTCTCTCAGTTTGTTTATTGCATATATACATGCCCTTTTACCAAAGTATTGTGTCCAAAAATGTTTTTTTCATCAGTCTAGTCTACCCATCATCAGGTCAGTTTTCTAAATTGGATATAGGGTGTTTATCATTGATGTAAGGTTGAAAGAAAAAATGTGTATCTTTGTATAATAAAGCTAACTATTTCAATGTGTTTTGCTGACCTATATGTCTTGTCTATACTGATGCCATTGGTCCAACACCTGGTTTTTAGTGCTTATGAAGCATCCATTTGTGCATCCCACACCATTCAGACTGGGAACTAATTAGAAACGGAATGTGTGGGTGTGTGTGTGGGTGTACAGGTTTATATTGCATTGGCATTGTTGGGACCAAATGTCCCCACAAGGATAGTAAAACCTGAAATCACCTACATTGTGTGGACCAGCCGCGGAAAATGTAAAAATGCAGAATGTTTCCTGATGGGTAGGGTTAGCGTGGATAGAATATGTTTGAACAGAAGCCTAAAACCATTACGCCTATAGAGAGTCCCCACAAAGATAGCAAAACTGTGGGGGTGGGGGGTTGATGGCAATTTCTGAAATCCTTGTGGAGACATTGTTTGGTCCCCATGGAACACAGCTTACAAATCATACTAAAATGCAGAGAGTTTTCAGGGTTAGTGTAAGGGAAAAGACTACAGTTTGTTCAGTATAAAAAAACATTATGTCCCCATCCCATATAACATGAAACCCCTTTATAAGTGTGTGTATAAATATAAAACATATTACTGACTATAAATAAAATATAATTGAATATAATATGCAATTCAGAGCAAAAAGTATGTCAGAAGCCCTGACAGCATGTAAAATCAATTCTAATAGTGGCATTTTTAATAATTAAACATAACCTATACCACATCCTTGATGTGGGCATCTTAACAGACAGACACCATTGAAGCTGATCTAGTGCATACTAAAGGTGCACTTCAGAACCACGCAAAATGTGCATCGACAGCTGTGGATTGTGTCGTTCATAATGATGAATAATCTGACGTTTTTTCATTTGTGTTTAATGCTGCCTGAAAATGACCGTGTTTGTCTCGCGCATGGCTAAATCTCCCGTCGAGATCTTCCTGTCAGCATCCCACCGTTACTATGATATCTGTGTGTGGAGCGATCGCGCCTGGAGGTGAGTGCGCCTTCTCTTTCTTACCAATCACGGCAAATATATTAGGAGGTGTTGGTCGCACGCTACATTTGTCTTTTATTAAACCCTGGTTGTAAAATATTCAAATAGAAACATAAAACTCTTGAGGTGTCACAAGGTCATATCGTAAGCTATAAACGCACAGAACGCGTTAATATGAGCTTTTACACGGGTAATAGTCGACGCGTCGCCCGCTTATTAATTATCGCTCGCTCGAATGAGATTTTACGCGTATTCAGGGTGAAGTCAGGTAAAATGGGCCAGTCTGTGGTAAATCATCTGGAGCAGAATTAGATGGGTCTTTGCACATTGTGTAGTAGACCGCTGTTTGTGTTGTGTGCTATCAGGGTCTCTTTTACTCGTTATATGTCGCAAAAACAAGCCCAGGTCCTCGCGGTCATCACTGCTTCTTTCAGGTAAAACAGGCCAGGGAATCCTTATGCAAAACCATGATTGTGAACAAAGAAACAAACAGCCTGTTGTAAATTAACAGTTAATTCTAATTTAGTTTATATCATGGCATTACAAAAATGTAAGAAAGTAGTGTAGCCTATGTGTTGAGAGATTACGTTGAATGTCGGGGTTATTTCTCTAAATTGTAATTTTGAACATGTTCAAAAACATAGGCTGTATAGTTGGAATTGACATGTAGCCTACATTACCGTCTTTCTTTATGTTGTTTTTCTTGTGTATGTGCACATTTATAGACAGCGAAATAGACTGTGGCTTTAAAGGGGAACGGTCTATTTTAAATCATTTTCGAATCTAACAGTTGATTGATGTTAAATGATGCAAAGGTAATTTTCGAAGTGCAATCTATGCAAATTGTTAGACTATTAGCGTCCACTATCACAGTAATCTAAAAGTAGCCTAAATTAAATATTTTAGTTGTGGTGATTGCATGATAGTGATGCTTAATTTCCTCTGCCTGTTAAACGTATCGCAGTGGTTGCTATCGTTACCTGCCATGCAAACGCGACGAAATATAGCGTGCTCTCGCTCTCTTGTAATCTGTCTTTTATAATCCTATACTTGTATGAAAAAATAATAACTCCACACCCCACGCTCCATATTTTGCTTTGGGAGGTGGGTGGAAATCACACCGTTGGAAATCACACGTAACGAAGAACGTTTAGCTAATGTTCATATTAAGTTAAAATTAAAACATTATTTGAATATTCTCTGTTCAGAATGTCCATTTAAAAAAAAAAAAGTTTTAATTTCGTTCTTGCGTATTTGACCGTTGAGGAAACATTCCATTTTATCATTTTACATTGTGTGGGATAATTGGAATGTTCTTATGGGATGTTCTTTGAACATTCTGAAACAAGTAGTAACATTTAAAAATGTTAGATGAACATCTAAACTTCCGCGAACAATGTATTAATAATGTTTTGAGAACATTATTAAAAACCACATCATGTGAATTAACATTATTGGAAGAATGTTCGCTAATAACATTTAATGTTAGTCTGTGTACAGTTCTGTGTACATTCCCTGTTGGTTAGGCCCACTATATAAAGTTACATCTCTTTTTTCTCTGCTCATGTACAGAAATCATTTATGATACTTTACTTTAGGATATTCAGTCGTTTTTTATATGAATATAACCTGTCTAATCTTAAATTATTCCCATCCATTTACCCACAAAAAAACAACAACAAAAAAAAACATAATGTTGTGGCAATTGTTTAAAATAGCTTGCAGTGATTGAATATTGATTAAATTCAGTGTTATTATTTAATACATAAATGAAACCACTAGATCAATATCAATGTGACATTTTAATCCTTTAACTGTAACCACACATAAACTGTGTGAGATCATTAGTGTGAGATCATTAAAGGGATAGTTCACCCAAAAAGACTCGCCCTCGAGTTGTTCTAAACCTGAATGAATTTCTTTCTTCTATTGAACACAAAAGAAGATATTTTGAAGAATGTCGGAAACCAAACAGTTGAGGCTTTTGGATTGACCTCTGCCGAATCTAACCTGTAATATTTTGGTAACAAGCTCAAGTTTTATTTTATTACCCTGCCACACATCCCAACTTTGACATGTTTCCAAAGAGAAAGACAAGTTGAATATCAATCCTTACGCCATGAAAACAACGCTTCTATACTTATACTTCTCTTATTGATACACAGCCAGGCAATGGGTTTTGAATACCAGTATTATCAGTTTGATTACTTTTTATCAGACATGGTCTGAAGGTAATCTGAATTTTGGGAACAGTTTGTATGGTGATTATGTTTTTGTCAAAAAGCAGCACTGTGTAATAGATTTACTAAGTAAAAAATTGAAACACACATACGATCCTGATGTCCTTTAGAATGGACTCTCGGGCCCTGTTTACATCTGGTATTAACATGAGTTGTGTTCGATCGGATCACAAGTTTTGACCTTGTCCACTTTCAGAGGTAGTCAAAAACGCATTCAACCGGATTGCTTTCGTAGTGTAAACACTCATTCGAACAGCCACAAAAGATGCCTACTCTCTGCCAACTGACCTAAAACATTATGGAAGTACACTAGCTCGACGGGATTCAAACTTTGTTGGCTGAAAACCCGAGTTTGGTTTAAAGTCGAAAAAACGTACCAAGCACAATGTTCTCTCACCATTCCTGATTTCTAACACACACTCACAGCATTCGTGTGGTCTTGTGGCTGTCAGACCAGAAAGTAAAGCTGCCGCTCTCCGCTTGTTTCTCCGTCTTCTCCGGTCAGGTTCATATGTAAATTGCTCAAGCTTATTTTGTCCATTAGATCTGGAAAAAAGGCCCCTACATTTACCTGCCCATATACTCTCCCCTTGAAGAAACCTGGACAGAAGGGGTTTAAAATGTGGACAAAAGAGACGAATTAAAACACCAGGCGTAAACCGGAATGTCTCCCTCGTCTACTTGTGATCCTATCGAAAACCAGGTGTAAACCGGGCCTCATTTGAATGAGTTATTTGGTGTTTTTAAACATGTCAAATATGTCTATTTTATGCTTTCGTTGTTCAAATCGTAACATAGGCTATATTTTCTTTTGAAGGTGAAACAAGAGGCATTTGATTGAACATGAGTGCAAGCGCTCGGTGTCGATGGAGTCCCTGAACGCTGTGGAGCTCCGTGAACTGGGGGATGGGAGCAGGCGAGAACATACTCAGGCCTCCTCAGGACCGCGGCCTGCCACCGGCATCGAAAACGCATCGTTTGAGGATGAGGACCCGGGAACGAGGATCCGCGTTACCTCCAGAACATCTGGAATTGACTATCAGTCAAATCCGCTGCCTATTCAGAGAGAAGTGCCGTCACCGCGGACTGAAGACGAACCTGAGCTTGAATACAACGACCAATCGGTGGACTACGGGTTCATATTCGCGCTAGTTTTCCTCGTAAGCGGAATCATATTAGTGGTAATCGCATATACAATCCCAAGAGAGGTTAAAGTCAACCCGGACCAAGTGACAGCGCGCCAGATGGAGAAACTAGAGATGTATTATGCACAACTCGGTTCTCACCTCGACAAATGCATTATTGCGGGACTTGGTTTGCTCACTCTGGGAGGAATGCTCTTATCCGTTTTATTAATGGTGTCTATATGCAAAGGGGAACTGTATCGGCGGAGGACTTTCGCTAGAAGACCCATGAAATCTTATGGATCCATTAATATGAGGATGAGGCAGCTAGCTGAAGGTGATGGAAGGGAGACGCTCGTGGAATGTGAACCGAACGTCACCGCCGACGCCGCGAACGGTAATCAGGTTCCTTCGGAAACACTAAACACGTAGCACAACTGAATCACATTGATAAAACACTTTTGCATTCCCAAAAGGAAATAGTGCTTGCAAGGCAGCATAAATAACATCTTTAGGAAATTTTTCGTTTTTGGCTTCAATTATCAGTAAAATGAATAATAAGTGGACATGACAACGGCGATCAATGCACAAGGCTATATAATACCATTCATGATTCAGTATGCAAAAAAAAAAGAAAAAAAAGAAATAGCATATATTGCAAAGGCTACATCTGTCAATTGTCAAAGTCAATGGCAGATTTTCTCACTTTAATCTTAAATTCCTATAAAAAACCTGATATTTTCTACAAAACAAAGTTTGAAATGAAAGAAACCTCTCATGGACATTCTAATTTTACTACAAAATGATTCATTAATGTAATGTAACAAGCCAAGTCACAATGCCAAAATCTTGATGCTCTTAAAACAGGCTTCATTTTCTTTGTGCCAAAATATATATTCTTATTTTTTCCATTTAATTCCGGGGCAAAATGTGACATGTTTTCATATACGCTATCTTGCTCATGCTGCCCTGCGAGCACTGGCATCATTTGAACCTTTTTAATCATTTTTAAGCTGTAGGCAAACACGCGAAACACATAATGTGATGGTGCAAAAGCCATGCTAAAGACTCAAAAGACAAGTGAATGAAAGCACAATGGTGAAGCTTCATAATAACGTAACATGCTGCAGAACAAACCGCCACCTGCTACTTTACAAAACTTGAAATAAATGTCTGTATAATCTATAACATCACTAAAGACACTATGAGTGGAATATATACAAGCTATTATTATCCAAGGATGCAATATGCCTTAAGACGTTACAAATGTTCACCGTGAACACAAACATTGGCTTGTTTGTATTTGTCTACTGTTCGTGTTTTGTATATGTGTCACACACCTGCTCGTTGTCATCAACCCACGTTCTTGGAGTAGAGGACAATGTACCGCAACCAAGGGAAGAGACATATGAATGCTTAATGTTTTAAACAAGATATCTATTTTACAATATCTATCATTATGGTACTCTAGTAGATTTGTGCTAACAATTAACAAAAATGTGAAGTTTTACTGTAATGGTGCAATATGCATAGATTCCAGTAGAGATTTATATATGTATATGACAACTTTGTTGTCTTCTCAATGACACAACAGATATACTGTAGGCTTTAAAGTGCCCCTATTATGCTTTTTCAGATTGTATCTTTCATGCAGTGTGTAATTCAGCTGTTTGTGAATGTAAAAGTTCTGCAAAGTTTTAAAGATCACAGAGTTATTGTCTCCTAAAAAAATTCTGAAATCCCTGAAACAAGTCAGTCTCACTTTCATGCACAAACCTACGTAGTTTTGCGTACATTTGCATAATGCCCGCCTGTAGTCTTCATTGGTTCCCCACGAACAACATCTACTTTGCTCCGCCCTCAAACACTGTAGTTGCAGCTGAGACTGGAAGAATTGATACGGTAAAAACGACGCCAGTTCATATCACTGTGAAAGAGCTGAAATTCAGATATATGGTAATGCTCGTTTTGTTTTCCGACACGCGCTATAAGCGGTACACCAATCACAACAGCCTGGGCCATCTGACCAATCAGAGCAGAGTAGTTCTCGGAAAGGCGGGGTTTATAGAGACCAAATCCTATCAAACCTGTTCAGTCACTGTGGAAAAAAAGGTGATGCTGCAATGCATATTATGAGAAAATGAAGGGTTTTTTTTTTTACCTTGGATGCATGTAAACCTTATGTAGGAGACCTCCAAAATTAGAAACCATTAAAGTAGCATAATAAGGGCACTTTAAGAATATGCTCATCACCCCGTTTAAAAGAAAGTTATTGTAATAGGCTAGCACATAAGCAGGTTACATTTGACATTTGTGTGTACTTGATCACTGATGACGCTGCCTGCACCTTGGTTTGGTTTTACTGCTGAACAACTATTTTCTATAAGTACACTATTCAGAGATTGTAATCAAAACTAAGCAGAAACCTAATAAGAGCAGATGTCTTACACGTCTTAGATGTAGTAAAGATCACCCTGGCCTGCAATTATATATTTCCAAGGCATCCAAAATACATACTCACTATATTGCTCTGTGCAGAACAGCTTTATAATGGTATTAATGGAAGTGGTAACTGGTATATAAAGTTAAGATAGGGAAAGCAAAATTCACATTGTGTCGATAGAGTTTCAAAAGTGGACTTATAGAATACTAATAGAATGCAAGGGAGTCACTGTAGAATAATGGAGATTAATGGATGATCAATGCAACACTAAATCAAATGGTTAATGAGAGCACACTGTATCAGAGAGAGTATTGTTACATACTATAATTGATCTCACATTCCAGTGTATTAAATATTCTTTACACAATATATTTACTAAAGTCTAAAGATTGTTCGAAATCGACTATATAATGTTGTTTGGTGGTGTGTAAGTGTGATGCGTTCACATGCTGCTTGATGCATCACTAACTTAAGTGCTGTTTAAATGCTGATTCAAGTGAAATGGACTCGTTGTAATCTTTCTTTGACGCCATCATGTTTCTCATTGCATCCCTAAATTATGGTAAATATATCTGTCATGTACCTGTAAGATGTTGGTTATGGTGTGATGTAAAGTTATAAGGAGAAAGGAAATTGTTTTCATGTCTTCAGTTGTGTAAAATATTGTCTTGTAAGCACAGAGGATCTAGTATTGAGCACTAAAGCATTTATCTTGCACCAAAAGTGTGCTGTTGATCACATTGCTCATGCACAAGCCCCTAAATGAATGTGAATGTCATTAAAATGCATTATGAAATGTTGTAACACTTTTTCAACACGACAGCCTGAACTGAGCAAGTCACATTGACTCTATTGAGAGTGGAATACTAGTATACTTACACTATTGTTTAAATGTTGGGCATCAGTAAGATTTTTTAACTTAAGAAATTAATACTTTTATTCATTATAGATGCATTAAATTGATCAAAAGAGACTTACAAAGTTGCAAAATAATTTTTAAATAAACTCTGTTCATTTAAACTTTCTATTCATCAAAGAATCCTGAAAAAATGTATCATGGTTTCCACAAAAAAAAATTAATAAGAATATGTTTTTTGAGCAGAAAATCCTCATATTAGAATGATTTCTGAGGGATCATGTGACACTGAAGACTGGAGTAATGATGCTGAAAATTCAGCTTTGATCACAGGAATAAATTACATATTAAAATATATTCACATAGAAAACATTTATTTTAAATTGTAATAATATTTCACAAATTGACAGTATTTTGATCAAATAAATGCATCTTTGAGACTTCTTTCAAAAACATTAAAATCATACCGACCCCAAATTTTTGAACCGTAGTGTACTTAAAAAAACAGCCTCACAATATTGCATGCTATATTCAGCGAGTAGCATTAATAATTCCTGAATAAATGTGATTACTTCAATACAATTGTGTACCGCACATTTGATCAAATGTAATAGGTCATCCGTGTATTTCATGCATACAAAAAATGTGCATATATTGCAGAAATAGTAAGAGTAGTATGATAGTATGCTATCCAAATGAGCAGCACAATAATGGGGCTTGTATAGAAGCAGCTGCTCATAATGATCATTGTTGTACAATCTGGCTAGAAAGAGTTCCTAGAAATCCTTGAGAATTACAAACGCAGCTTTCTAACACCGCAGAGGCTTAATGATGTGTATAATACTTGTGTGAACCGAACAGACTGTTATATATTCAAATGAAATGCAGTACCACGGTACTTTGGGCCAATCACTCGGTTTTTTTAATGTGGAGAGCGGGGGTGTTTGTATTGCATGTGTTCAATGTCAGCTGTGCATTTTAAGTCTGTTACCACTTCATGTGTGTTCAAGGCAAATGTGTCACCTTTTTATACTGTTTCCATGCGTGAAATAAATCTTTTTTGTTGCTATACCTGTCTGACTGAATTGATCATGGAACGCTGAGGAACTTTAAAGAATCGCGTGGGACAAATGTATCACTTAAAATGTATGAATATCATTGCACAATAAAACAAAAGTCCCATTTATTTGATTAAAAAGTTAGCACGAGCACACTTCTCAAGCAAAACATTTTTAAAGAGGTTTGTTCGGATTATCAAAGTTAAATGGTTATTTCACCCAAAAAAGAAAATTCTGTTATTAATTACTCACCTTCATGTCCTTCCAAACCCATAAGACTTTCTTTCATCTTCAGAACACAAATGAAGATATTTTTAATGAAATCTGAGAGCTTTCTGTCCCTCCATTGACAGATATATACACAACTACCACTTTGATGCTTCAAAAAGTTCATAAAGAGATCCATAATCCATATTTCTTAAGAGACTCGAATCTCGATTGCTTTATTTGATGTTTAAAAGTGTTTGGACACTTTGTGGAACACATTTTCACATTAAATGTGAAGCACAGAAGTATTTTCACTCTATTGTGACTATCAGTTCTACATTCCCTTAACAAATAAGCACTTAATTCTCCCAGAGATATCCACTATTTCAGTGCAGTCATGCCTAGAGGACACTCGAGTGTCTTTATCTCTGGCAGTAAAGGACAGTCACACTGACATTGCGGACATCATGACTCACTGTGGCCATTTCAGGCATTGATTTCCACTACATGTTCCTCTCACTGAATCAACCGTCTCAGACGCTTTGCATTCATCTATTGATACTTTAAAGAGAGAGTGAGCAAGGTCACTGCAGTTGCATGTAGGAGAAAAGCCCTCGCACAAATCAAAGCAGTTGTAACTTTTCAGATGACTTGGTTAAAGTATATTTTTGGGGGCTTTTTTGCCTTTATTTAGTTAGGACAGTAGGAGGACAGACAGAAAATCATGGGAGAAAGGGGATATGGACCGGGAAAAAATCTCAAGCGGGGACTCAAACTCGGGTCGCCTGAAGTGCAACCACACCAAAGGCCTCGTTTATCAAATGTTGCGTAGAAACCTTCCTACATTTGATATTACAATCATTTCTCGCATGCATACATGACGTCAGTGATTCAGAGAAGGAATGCTTTCAGAGCTCCGCCTGGTAAACGACGCCAAATGAATGTCATTAACAAATAAAAGAGCACTAACGTCCAAATCCTTACTCGAGAACAGCGAGAGAGTTGCCTAGATTTCCAAATACCTGCAGAACTCCGACTCTCTGCCACAAGGGAAAGTGCGTACATTTGCTTAGACCCTGGTGTGGGGCTATAAGCACTTTTCCATGTCAAAGACCGTTCTTATTAATATGAACGTTGGCGTGGATTTTAGCGTGCACGCACTCAAAGTTCAAATCTGTGCGTACGCACATTTTATAAGTGAGGCCCCATTTTTAGAAGCACTTGCCCAAATGTGGCTCCAACTTTTCTTTTTTGAAAAAGAAAATGTGATTGGTCTTTTCTATTGTCTTTTTAGAGTTGCTTTACAGTTTGCATCATTGATCATTATTTTCCTGTTTATCACAGTAAAGACGCTTTGAAACAATATGTATTGTATAAAGCGCTATAAAAAGGTGAGGTGAATTGACTTAAAACTAAAACCATAAAATATTTTATTGTTACTTCAAATATTTTATTTTAGCTAGTTGCCAAGGCAAAATTTCTCTATTTATTTAGTAACTTTATGTATTTAGATGACTAAAACTGAAATTAGAATTAATAAAAAAAAAACAGACACATAAAAAACTAATACAATTTACAAAAACACAACAAAATTACTAAAAATTTAACTAAAATTAAAATGAGAAATTTCATAAATAAAATAAATTCAAATATTTATACTTTTCTTTTTATTTGTTCTTAATTACATTTATTTTTAAACCAAATTTTTATTTTAAATTAAATAATTTTTATCATATGTCTCTTGGTTCTATGATTTTTATCATGTCTAAAAAATATTTTTTTTTACTTTTTATTATTCATTTTATTCCTTAATAATCTGTAATGATTATTTCTAATTCCTTTTATGTATAGCACTTTGAATGACCATTGTGTATGAAATGCTAATATATAAACTTGCTTTGCATTTATTATCAAAAAGAGATCAATCACATCAGAGAAATGGGACAGAATAAAAGCAGTTTAATTTACCAATGCAGAATAAGTCAGTAGCACAAATAACAGTGAAAAAAATGGAATTATTTAGTCAATATCAAAATGAAAACGAGTTGTACTATTTTTTTAAGGAATTCTGTTTCACAACAGTTTATTCAAACAGAAAGTGCATAAGACTGCAGAGCAGTGAGAGTTATGGGATGTTGCGTAAGTGCGTTCTACATGAACATGTCATCATAGCCTGGTGGAGGCATGTGATCAGGGTCTGGCCTGAAAGAGAAAGCCAAACGAAAGGCATTAGAGGTGAGGATATGATGTAAAATGAGGTAAGTGCAGTTTTACAGCTAAACTCAGATCATTGGCAGCAATAAAGATCCCATTAACGCTCTTACCCGGGTCTGTGTCGCCCAACCGGACCGAAGGGGTCAAAGCGGGCACCAGGAGGGACAGCGCCTGGAGGGAGGACTCCAGGAATACCAGAGGAGGGGTCAAACCCTGAGCGAGGAAACCCGGCACGCAACGGATCGACGATCATTCCTCCTGCCCTTCCCCTGGAGAACGAACCAAGAGACAAGACCTATTAATAATTCAGCGAGCAAGGTCGTTCCTTGAAGGTGCACTCATTCATTTTCATTCTTAAATGTTCTGTGATGCCTTTTATCCGTGCTACTTTCTCCAACTGTTGTATTATACATAAGGGTGGTCCGAAAATTACATTGTGCACATCTCAGGGTGCTTTCACACGGGCGGTTTAGTTCAAACAGCACGGTTCGCATGAAAAATTGGTAATGTGAAAGCTGTCATATGGACCCTTGAGCATATGGAGCAAAGGCGCCCGTTTGCAAGCAGCAGAAAGCCGAGTTCATGCAACGCACATACATTCACTGCTGTGTTTAATAGCACTAAATTAATTTTAAAAATCGCAATATATTGACCGGATCCTGTCGTCTATCATCCATGTTTGTGATGACGTAAGATGCACCGGGATTCGAGAGAATCAAATGTGTGAAACCAGACTCTATAAGGAGCGCCTGAAACAAACGCACTCGGGTTCGGATCGTGGCAAGCATGACCAGTGTGAAAAACCCCCTAAGAAAGATTCTGTATCTGTAATCTACAGGTCAACATGCATGACGCATTTACAGATGAGTGTTTTGGCAAATAAGTGATGGGATTTCTCACCCGAAGGGATCCAGATCGGCACCACCTGCAGCAAAAGGAGCCATCGGGTCAGGCCTAAAAAACAACACACACAGAGAGACATTTCAGAGGCATTCTGTTACACTGTATTGAATATATGTATATTAATGTTATATATAACTGCATAATACTAACAATTGTATGTTACTGTTCAAAAGTTTGGAGTCAGTAAGATTTTTTAATATTTTAAATGTTTCTGAAAGAAGTCTCTTCGGCTCACCAAGGCTGCATTTATTTGATCAAGAATACAGTAAAAACAGTAATATTCTGAAATATTATTACAATTTAAAATAACTTTTTCTCAAATTCATACATTTTAAAATGGAATTTATTCCTGTGGCAAAGCTGAATTGTCACATGATCCTAGTTTTTTTATTCTTTGATTAATATAAAGTTTTTTTCAATATAGTTATTTGCCTGAAACATAAATCTTTTGTAACACCATAAATGTCTTTACTGTCACTTTCGATCAATTTAATGCATTTTTTGTTGAATAAAACCAACAATTTCGTACAGATCCCAAACTTGTGAACAATAGTGTGTGTGTGCATATTATATATATATATATACACTACCGTTCAAAAGTTTGGGGTCGGTACGATTTTAAATACTTTTAAAAGAATTCTCTTCTGCTAACCATGGCTGCGCTTATTTGATTAAAAATACAACAAAAATCAGTTATAGTATTAAATATTATTCCAGTGTAAATCAGCTGTTTTCTGTGTGAATATATAGTAAAGTGTAATTTATTCCTGTGATCAAAGCTGAATTTTCAGCATCACCAGTGTCAGTGTCTTAGTGTCAAATGATCCTTCACAAATCAGTATAATATGAGGATTTGATGCTCAAGAAACATTTATTATTATTATCAATGTTGAAACAGTTGTTGGTCTGTCAGTTGTACAGTTTTTTTTTTTTTTTTTTTGGATTCTTTGATGAATAGGAAGTTCAAAAGAACAGCATTTGTTTGAAATAGAATCTTTTGTAACATTATAAATGTCTTTACTGTCCTTGATAAATAAAAGTATTGATTTCTTTCCTCCAAAAAATAAAAAATAAAATTCTCACTGACCCCAAACTTTTGAACGGTAGTGTATATATATATATATATATATATATTGTACACACAGTATATTGTTTTTTTTTTTTACATGTCTGAATGTCACTGAATTAAATAACAACAAAATATAAAGTGTGTATAATTCCAAGACTTTTTAACAACAACATATGGCTGTTTGATGAATACATGTTCAGTATGTAGATGATTATTTGGCTTAATCTGTGAATCTCCATATGCAGAATGTGGATCGGCTGTGACTCAGCTCAATGTTTTGAACACAGGACACTTTCTGAGTGTCTGGCAGCAGAGCACGTTTGACTGAATTACATCACGCCCACAGCAACAGCAAGTCGATAAATCGCTGACATCATAAAGAATCTGATAGGGGTCACCGTGAACCCAGGAAGGGGAAGTGGAAGACAAACACCGAAATCCACCTCTGGGTTTCTGCCATGACCTTACGAACATTTTCCTCATCTCTTTCTCCCTTCAAACTATTCGTTCTTGTTTTTGCCACTTTTTAGTGATAGAGACTAAAGAGAAAACAGGAAATCAAGGTCACAACGCAGGCTGCATCCCCCACAGCTCCTTCAAGTATGTTACAAAAATATA